ACAAGCACTCCCAGAGCAGACAGTAACATACATTCACTTAGAACGTAAACTTGCTATGTGGAAATTCCCCTTTCAAAAATATTCATAGATGTCTAAATAACTCACTAAGGTACAGAAAATAAACCAAGGATTTAAACAATATTATTGTAGCTGTTGCAGCTCCTGCCCGGCAGTAGTTTCCTGTGCACGCGGAAAGCACAAGATCCAATAATTTATCGATTTAATAACTGGATTTGTTAAGATTATAATAAAGATACCCACACTTTAAAGTGACGTTGTACTTGATACCTGGGTCCGTGCCTGCTGGAAATCTGAGAAGAGCAGTTCCTAAAAAAAAGGTAATGGAAATAGCAGGAACGTTCATGCTTCTGTCAGCAGGTACTAATCCAACCTAGCAACTTGTTGCTGTGTGTCCTAGGGGCTTGGGGCAGCGTTATGTCCCAGTGTCTAGTTAATGTGGGAACTTGGACTGAAGATTTTCTTGGATTTGGGCATTCATACCACACTCCTAAGTTGGGTTTCTGGTGTCTAGTAACAGTCAATTTCACCCTATAAATTTTATTTTCACTGAGAACGTTACTAAAACGTCCTAATTTTCCTGGAACTAGTCAAGCTTAATATTGCTAAATTCTCTACAACTCTTAGGTATGGTTGAAGGTAGCCAAGACATTCAAAAGTCTTGGTAGCCAAGACATTCAAAACTACATCTAGTTACCTCAATATATATAATGATTGACAAATATAGAACAATACAAAGGACCTTTATATAATATCATAAGAACAGGCTGGCTCTATTTGCTTCTGAATCCCTTCCAGCATGACAGAAGAGAGATGCATTTTTTTTAATGCTATTTCTATAGCTCAGGCAACTCTACAGTTCCTTTGGTGGTCTGCTCTGACAGACAATATAAGCATCATGAGCAGCTGGATCTGTGCCACTGAAATGAATTCACAAGTCACTGCACCTGCAGATCTCAGTGAGCACTGCAAGTTTCTTAGTGCAGCTTTACATGCTTTTTTTTCCTTTGGACTAAGTGGAGTTCAGAAGAAGCCAAAAATGTTCTTGCTTGTGTAATTTTCAGCTAAGATCAGTTGTATTTAATTCTCAAATGTGATGTTTTTCTATCAGCTCATGTAACTCTAAACACAAGTTATGTGATGTCCTGTGCTCTTACAGACGAGCTAGAAAGGTTACAGTTTAGTGAGATTTGGAACACAGAAATACAAAGCTATTTGAAATTGTAAAAAAAAAAATTACAATATTCCTTATCTTTTAAGGGCATCTCTTGCCTGTCGAAGAGTAAAAAAGCCTGAGATGCTATTTGATTGCTTTGTTTTCAAGCATCTTTATCTTTTGGAGACTTAACTCTCTGTGAGACTTGCTAGGAATGCTTATAATGCACAAAAATACTGCCGCTGCCAAGGTTAGCGTTAAGACTCTCAAGATACACATTTGCATGCTTGACATGGTTCCTGCCATATTTAAACTATTTGATAACATTTTCAAGTTAATTCATAGGATCAAATTCTGCACTCATTGTATAAAGGTAAAATTCTGGAGCTCAAAATCTTTGTTGTGTTGTGTACGGCCACTTTAATGGTGAAAGCTCTTTGTTGAGTACATGTCCATGGGTTACTGCTTATGCAAGAAAGTTGTACTATGGCTGCATATTCCCTAATGAGATTAGGCAATCAATTCATATGATCTCTCATTCTGTTGATTGCTTTACTGCCGGTAAAAGGATATTTATATAACTTACCTGCACAGAAAACCACATCCCTTCTGTTTGAGAGATGAGACTGATGACAGACTGTGAATTTCCATGTGTGGTTTTTTTGGAGCAGCAGCTAGGTCTTGTCTTAATTAATAGCCTGCAGCAACTTTGTTCCAGACTGTGTACTAATTTTGTATGAACAATAATGACTCTCATATGTTCGCACAAGGCACCCAGTATTTCCTCAAAATACAGCTTTTCTTTGAGGAGGTATTGCTAAACCTCAACAAAGCTGGGAAGTACTCTAGAGAACTTGCTACCACTGCTAGAATGATGCCAGCTGTCAGAGAGTGCATGGAAGGGAAAACCACTTGGCCAAGAAACTTAAAGGCAACTACCAAGAAGATGTCAAATCAATACTAGAGAGAACTGAGGGGGGAAATAAGTTCCTAGGAAGGAGGAGAACAGAGGACAGTAGAGAAATAGTGGAAGGAAGGCCACATTTTCTTTGGCTTAGCACGCAAATCATCACCACCATCATCAACAACATCAGATCAGGCAGGTGAGTAGGAACCTGAATGTTCTCATCCAGATCTGATGTGCAGTGAGGAGAGGGGTAGATAAGTTGTGCGATACCTTCATCACCTGATTGCTAGTGCTCGATAACACAGAGAAGAACCTCTTCTCTCATTAGGAACTGGGCTGTCATGCCTACTGCTGGCTATCAGATGCTAGACATAGAAAAAAGCAGCTGATGTCATGCTAACTAATCAGCAGAAAAGGTACCATTTTCTTTGTGCTTCATGGTGTTGTCAACAGCAGAAGCAAAACATTGCATGTCAACTCTTGCCTCCCTTGTCTGAAAGTAGTCATTTCATGGGGCAGTCCTTCTAGTGAAGAACATTTGCTGTCAACATTTGTAATGAAAACAAACACAGAGAAAACGAACTTGGGCAACAGAAACATCCAAAGGCCATTGCCTTACCAAAAAAAGATGTCATAGCTTACAGATGAGAAACTTCGACTCTGCAGGCCAGATCCAGCTGTCAGACCATGTCTCATTGCCCTTCTTCCCAAGGGTCCCAGAGTCCTCATAGAAGTATGTCTGTTGTATGACTAAAACACAAGGAGAAGACTAGTGAATCTGATCACACAACAGGGATGACTGGCATGTCCCCCCACAGGCAGGAGCGTATCTAATGACAGATGACTGGATACAAGACAAACACAGCCAAAATATATTTGTTTCCCATTTGTTTCACATTTCTGTCACCAGACTGAGAGATGAGTCCCTGACAGTTTGCAGGAGAAGGCTGAGGAGGACACTGAATGGATTTTTGTGTGGTTTTTTAAGTGACAAAACTGTATCCATTAAACCATTTGGTGTTTTTATTCTTAGTTTGTGAGGCACTAAGTTTATTAGTCTTTAGTTCAGAGGAAGCCAACTGAAAGCAGTCTTCTTCATCTTATCTGCCTTTTGCAGATCTCTTAGGAGGTAGCATTCATGGTTCTTCATATGAAAATCTCCCTTGTGTACAGATACAAGCATTGCAATTATGCATTGTAGTTGTAGGTGTAACTAATGAAATCCACAAAATGTGCTTGAGAGCATAGGTGTAATGAGCCTTGCTCTTTCTGCGAAAGAATCCAGGAAACATCACGGACACTTGCCTTCTCCACTTTCTTGAACAAAATCCTACTTAAAAAAAGAATTACCAGTCCGTTCATTGAGACACAATTTGAGATTTGGCTGAAGTATATTGAAGGCTTCATAAACAGAGGGAAAAAGAACCTACGTATCTCTTTTTCTGAGCAGGAGCCTCCTAAGTAGATCCTGGAGATAAATGTTATGGCCAAATCTGTGATTTTAAAACAGATTATTGGCTGCTTACATTGAAGGCTGGCTGGGGTCAATTTTGCTGTCAGACAATTTTAAATAAGCTGTATTGAATTTCTCCAGGAGATCAATTTACTTCTTTATTTGTTTCCTATTTGGTGTAGTGTATGGGGAACTTTCATTTCTTATTTTGGCACTGAATTTTTATAGCTCTCTGGGCTTCCTGAAGTGGCTATTCAGCATTAGAAATATTGCAATTAGTGCAAGCAGGAAGTTATAAAAATTACAACAACAACAAAATGCTAAGTCCATGTATTCATGAAAAAATATGATGTTCTAGATTAATAACAAATAAAGAATCTGTGATGTTCGGACTCAGTGATAGTAAGAACTAAACCAATATACAGAAGTAGTAGACAGTATATTTCATGATCTGATATTTCCATTTTTAACAAATGGAGAAACTAAGGATGGAAACAAATAGTACAAGTTGCCCAAGGCTATGCAGCACATCAGTGATGAACCTGGGAATATATTCCAGATACTCATCTACCCAACAACGCCACTTCTGTCTGTGACCTGTGCCTGCCTCCACTGCTCGAGCTTCTTGGGCTGCACATCTACCACAGTGCCCAAGTGCAGACCTCCCGTACAGCCACGCAGTGGCACGGACATCTGGCCTCGTGAGAGATATTTCTCATGTCTGAGATGCGTTGAGAAGTGCATCAGGTCACCAGACTGCTATTTCTTTGAGCTCACTGGTCCTACCTTAAGTGCAACAGGTCATGGTTTTTAGGTTAGCTATTGATAGAAGGCTGCTGCCTTCAATGTGGCACATTTACTTAGTTGAAATACAGTGCTTCCTGTCTCCCTTCTAAATGAGACCTAAGGCAGTGAACAAGAGAAACCGTAGTACCTTGTAGCAAATGCAGGAAACACAGGCATGGCTGTGGAGAATACAAGGTGAGAGCCTCACATCCAGTGCCTCTAAATTGCCATTTTGCATTTTCACCATAATTGTTTTTAAATAGCTGAAGAGGGAGACTTCATCATACTTTCTGAACTTCAACATTGAGTCAGACAGACATAGGGAGAGCTTGGAGGAATAAGTGAATATTCTGTAGAGCTCAGTACATATTTTTTCAAAGTCCAGAAGTAAAGTCCAGCTAACTACAAGAGATACGAAATGTGACATCCATGAAAGTATCAGGAGCCCAGTGTCCCTGAAGATCCAGTTATCAAATAAGGTATCAGTAGTTTGATTTACAGTATTTTTTAATGGGTTGGAATACCACAGTGGCCTCCTGTCTGGCAGAGAGTAACATCTTCTCCATCCAATTAGTGCCAAGTGGCATCTACCTTGCTCCCAACTTTTTTAACTTTTGCATACAAAAAACCACAGAAGACATTGCTATCCCTTCTAATCATGCCATGTTTGCTTTCTGCAGGTGAACGGCCGTTTGAATGCAGCTGGCAAGGGTGTAACAAGAAGTTTGCTCGCTCCGATGAGCTGGCCCGCCACTACCGTACTCACACTGGAGAAAAGAAGTTCAGCTGTCCTCTCTGTGAGAAACGCTTCATGCGCAGCGACCATCTGACAAAGCATGCCCGTCGCCATGCCAATTTCCACCCAAGCATGCTCAAGAGGCGAAGTGGAAGCAGCTCAAGAACAGGGTCTGTCAGTGACTACAGCCGCTCAGATGCCTCAAGTCCAACGATTAGTCCTGCCAGCTCCCCATAGACCTACCTGCACTGGATGTCAGCACTTTGCCTCTAATACCTAATGTGGAGTTCTGTTTGTGTTGCACACATTTAAAAAACTCTTGCTTCCCATCCTCAGCTCCCCATCCTGCTTTTAAAAAAAAAAAAAAATCAGTAAATAGCTGCCTCCCACTGCAATTTCCAGTCAAATTTTCTTTACCCAACCACGTAAGTGGCTACTCTAACCTCAAGACTTACATGTCCCACTAGTGACTCCTGCTGTCTCAATATTTCATACATTTTGCAACCATTTACAGATCCTGTTGATTATTCTTTATAAGAAAATAAGAAAATCTAAAAAAAAGAAAAAAATCCCACTTAGTTCACCTCAGGTGTCAAAGTAGTTTTGTAAGACCAGATTGCACAACATGAGCATACATACACTTACAAATCAACTGTGTTGGATTGTGCCCCTCTTCTCCTTTCTCAGGGATGGATATTTACGTTACACAATAATTTCAATGAAGACACACCCTAACCGCAGCCTTACTCTGTAAATATATTTGCACTCAGAAGTTTTTTGTTAGATTCTTTCACACACTGGGGAAAAATAAAAACAAGCAAACAATACAAAAACCAGACCAGTACTGGAATGTAGTACCAGACTCTTCCATTGTTTGTTTTCCTGATTATACACCTACACTGGGGAGTGTCCAAACAGGAGTCTTGCCTTTCGTCAAGCTGCCTTCTGCTTTTGGTAGCAAGCCATCTTTTCACTTCATGCTGAAGATGCTCCAAAACCAAATTCCTATTGCAAAAATCTCTGGGAGGTTGATAAACTTGTTTGTTTGTTTGTTTTGTGCTAGATAAAATTCTGAGAAAAAATTCTAAACAAGATGCCTTAAGTAAATACCTTAATCATGATGAAACATATTTACACTGGGTAACATTTTGTTGCAAGGAGGCATGGAATCTCAGAGACATTCTGTCGTCACTTTCTCCCAAGTTATTAAGCTCTCTGCACTGCCTGTTCAGTATGGGACCAAGAGAATATTAAAATCAAACCACACTGACTTGAACAATTGTCTTCATTAATTTTTCTTTTTCTTAAATGAACTATGGTAATAGCATAGCTGAACCAATGCCCAATAAAACTTTTATCAAGGTACTTACCTACTGTACAGCTGTATCTTAGCAAGACAAATTGGCTAAGACAGAGTTTCTTATCCTGTTGCATCACAATCATGGTCACTGATAAAAGGAAGTGAAAATTATAAACTATTTTCTGACTGGAAAAATAAATATGCATTTTTAAGTTTTAAGATAAAATTGTATTTTATTCCAGTGCTACTACAAGTTTCTCAAAAATACACATACCAGCATAAAGTGCTCTCATTTCTGAATAACTGCTTAATAACAAAAAGGAAATCTTGGCTACTTGTTAATAACTTTCAAATATTTGACACTAGATAAAACACTATGAGGTAGATTTTTATGTTTTGTATGGTAGAAAATACAGAAAAAGACCAGAAGCATTGTGATGTACTGGAGACCTCATTGGCAGCAAACACACTTTCTTTGGTTTGACTACATCTGATGGTGCATATTATAAATTCAGGTCCTTTTGATTCTGGAATTTTTTGGGTTTTATTGTTTTTACTGTAGGGTATAAATGCAGTTAAGTGTAGCATGGTGAAAAGAAACTCTCTATGCCAAACCTGCTGTTTGATACCAAGTGAATGCCTCCACATTCCGGATGAACCTATATCTTACTTGCTGCTTTGCATTGATCTAATTTTGCAAGTTTTTATTGTACTGTACGTTAGCTGTGAGAGGCTAATACAGTTTTCCAGGTAGTTTCATAGGTACTTCTGTAATATTTACATTATTCCTAATACTATGCTTTCTATTAGTTGTATGGATAAATACTTAAGAGACAGTTCAAAGTTCAGATATTTCAGTATTTTTTTCATGTTGATTTGATTCAGATTCCACCTCTATAAAATCACAGTTTTTGCCTTTTGAATTGGAAGTCATGTGAGGCACAATTCTACTGTTTCATTCCACAGAAAATGAAAGAACATGGTAAAGTTTTTTTGCAAGACGACAAATATTGTTGCGTTTGTGTGGTAAGTTGCCTTATCACTGTTAGGGGAAAGCCAGATCTGTTTGCCTCCATAGATTTCCTCTTTTGTTTTTTTTCCTTTTATAAAAATTTCATCTACCAAGATACACAATTTTAACAACTTCATACAATTCAGATAACAGTTATTCACATTCCGATCATTTCTGTGACTGCTAAAAGTGCTCTTGTGTTGTAGTTTTTGTGGAGGCATTTAAGATACCTAGCTGAAGGAATTCTACAGGTCAGCTGTGTCTTGTGTACATACTTTAAAACAAATCATAAACACATTTCTCATTATACCTTAACAGAGGGATATGGGGGTGAAAAAAGACAAAATTAAAAAGAGACCTAAGTAGCAGCAAAAATCATAGGCTTCATGATCTAAGTTCAGTTTGTTATAAAATAATGTTTTCTAGCAAGAGCATCATTTAGTCTTTAGCAAAGGAGGAATCACTCCAGTCCAATTATTTAGGGCATAATAATTCAGCATGAATCAGTAGATGTATTACAAACAAGTTGTTTTAATAGCCTGGAGAAAGAATATTTGCATCAGGTTTTATTAGTACTGAAATTATAGGATATAAAGATTATGGGACAACCTATTCCGAGTGACACAAGAACTATGTAATCTTAAACAGTAAACTAAGAATTTTATGTATATTGCTCATAGAGGTTACAAATAATTCTTCAAAAAAACCCCAAACCAAAACAGGATCAGAGTTGAATTTCCAGTTCAGCCAGTTCATCTAATTAGAAGGCTATGAGAATATATATAGCCACCATAGCTACACTTTCAGGAAATTCTCTGAAATTTGTCATTAAAACTTTTCTTTTTTTTTTTTTTATACATCTTAGCTGTAAATACTTCAGAGTGTGTTAGGCTGACAGTCAAATTACTGTGTTTTAAAATCCTGGCTAGAGTTTCAAGTATCTCCATTAACTGTTTAATACATGATAAAATGTATTTTAGGATAAAATTATGAATTCCAAACCAGTAGCAGTTTCCAAAACTGAATGTGAACAAAACCTCTCAACATTTTCATACGGAAAGACACTGTTTGGGGGTTTCTAGCATCTGCTGGATGCTAGAAAAGCAGCATCAGCACCTGCAAGGTCATAAGACTCCATTGTCATGATTCTTCCTCCTGAGTTTTGCAGATATGAGAAGTCTGAACAGCTCAAATTATGTTTTGAAAGCTGGGTGCTTATCCAAACTAACCTCCAATTTTTACCCTTTTATTGGTTTCACCCAGCGGTGTAACCTAAAATAGTCTCCTAGCATAGCAACAAACATTGCACACTCAGGAAATACTGCTCTGGCAAGGTGCAGATCTCTTCACAGTCCTCCATTTGGAGGAGTGCACGTCTCTCCTTCTGCCTCCTCCTTTCCCCATGCAATCTGTTGAGGTGAATCCCTACCAGCTACAAAATTGTTCAATTTTCTTTTTTTATTTCAGAATATAACAACATGTTTATTCTTATTAAGAAAGCCCTGATAGTTTGTTTTTCTCCGGCCATCATTCTAGTTTCCTCTGTACAAGTTGAGCTTGACTGCCTTGCTGTAGGAAACAGGTGCAAGTTAAAGTCATCATTTCACTACCACCACTCAGCTGAAACTAAAGATGCTCTTAGAAACTCATTCACCCCTTCCATTACCTCATCCTGGACGAAGGCCTAAAGTGCATTAATGGGCACATGAATTCAGTCTTCATCCTGTTTCTTGGATAGCAGTCCTGGTAAAATGCTGGCAGCTAGGTTTTATTGTGAGAATTGTTTATATCTGCGAATTAATTGTACCTTGCTTTTTAATATATGCATAGTATCTGTTTACATTACATAACTGTAAAGGTATGTATTTATAACAAGTCATCAGAAGCCTCTGTTTGATGGTAACACCTAATTCCTGTATGTATCCTACTGTTTTTACTGCATTAACCCTTGCAATAACTTTTAGCTCTGAGAGCCTCCGTATGCCTTTAAAACCTCATTACCTTCTATCCAGATGTTCCGTGCTTTCTGAGTTTCATGCAGCCAGGCAGTAAAAGGCTACGTGAGGAGCTTATCTGTTTCTAGCTCTTCACATTGACAACTGCTTCTCTCCAGTTCTTTGCCATGAGTTCTAGAACCTGTACTGTGTAAAGTCCATTGTGGTTTTGGGGAACATGTTTTGTGAAGAAAGAATAAGGAAAATGAACTCTGCATACTTAAAGCTTGCTTTTTCATTGCCATTTGATTTACTAATTTCATGAGGTGATGCCTACAAATTGACTTTCAGGTGCTCTTTTACTCTATTACACCACCTTTTTGTGCATTGGGTGCTAACATATAGTCTATGTCATTGGTATGATGGACGCCCATATTTTCAAGTCTTTTGGGGATAAAGCTATAGACTTAGGCAGAAGAAGATAACCGAATTATACTTGTTTACCCCATAAGCCAGAATACAGAATACAAAAGCCCATCCACTGGTATAGGGTTTTTTTATATATATATATGTATATGGATTTATATAAGCAGATGCACATACATATATAAATGTATATATGTGTATATTGTGTAGTACATGTGTGTATACATAAATACACAGCATTGTGTATATACTACACACCAAATAATGAAGGGATGTCTACAGAGTAAAAATAGGTATCCATTTCATGGGTCTGAACCAAAATCCTACATCTGAACACCACTGCATATGGAAAGTTTGAACCTGTTTTTTGAGATTTGTAGTGCAATTTAATCTCTGGCTACAGCTGCAGTTATCTGTGTAGATATGCATACTGGGGGACATGTGTGTGCGCGCACATGTGCTTTTTCACAAGCGCATGCCTTTGTGGGTGACAGAGAATATGTGTGCCAGTAAGTGTGCACGTGTTTACAGATATACTTCCAGCTTTGGTGAATTATAATGTTAC